GATAAAAGCTTTAGGGTATTTATTCACTTCTTATTGCAGCATTAGCTTCCTATCTGCAGCTGTTCTCCTAAATGTCCTGAAGGTTTCCTGTGGGCTTTTTGGAGAACAAGCCTGAGAGAGCAAATAAAGTTGCTCGAAATAATAAAAACAGGAATATGGATGTTTATTGCATTCATCTGAACCATGTGAGGATAGCGATTTGAATACTTCCAGCCTCTACTTGTCTTCCCTCAAGTCTTCTTCTGTTGAAAGTCCTTTGTTACACACTTGTAATCCCGCTAATCCCTTCAGAATCCCAAAGGGCGGCTTCGGGAATCGCTCTGCCCGCCACAGCTTCCCTCTAGCCGTAGCTTTGCTCAGTGCGGCATCATTTTCCCATCCGTTGGAGCCCAAAGTCTTTCAAGACGCTGGAAAGGGCAATGCCGTATCCAAGGTGAAGCCAAGGGCGGCCCAATCCGGCGAGGTAAAATGTTACCGTTTTTCCCTCCGCCGTGAGGGAGCGGGCGAGGGGACACACGGGCCCAGCAAGGCTCCCGAGTGACCCCTGGTGTCACGTCGCGCTTGGCCTCGCTCCGGAGCCGCAGCGGCGCCGGCTGCTGCCTCGTGTTTCCCCCCACACACCGGGGAATGGGAAGAGATGGCAGCGTCTCACCACCCCTGCTTGGCCACGGTGCTGTTGTCCCTCCACGTTGATATCTTTAGAGGTATATGTCAGTTACTTAAAAAAAAAAGGAAAAGGAGCAGATGTGTGTACTTTTTAAAGCATGCATAAACCCATTTATTCTTAATTTCTCTCCCCCCGCCCCTCCAGCACCACTGTGTGGTGCAAAGGGAATGTAAACATGCTGCTCAAAATTCAGATGTTCTCTGTCGGCTTCACAGATGTTTGAAGTTCAATAGATTTCTTTTTTTTTTTTTCATAATTTCCTCGGTTCTTCTAGCTAAAGTGCTAAACAGCCATTATTCCTTTTTGCCTGCACATTGAGATTCATCCACAAGCTCTAAACAGCCTCAAAAGTGCTTCAATTTTGCATGAGCACTAAGCTGGGGCCTGGGAAGCATTCCCCACTGCTGAAGTCCCGGATCATTAGAAAGAGCATGTAAATCCTCTGAACCAGAAGTAAAAAGTGCACAGATTTTCCTTTGTGAAGTCTCATCCGCAGCTCTATGTAAAACATGAACCTCTGGCAGGGTTAGGGTTTTTTTGTCTTTAAAAAAAATAGTATTTTCCCAGCTGCACGTGCCTCCACCAAAGGGGGCTTTGACTGAGCTGTTTATAGGGTGAGCGTGAGCAAGCCCGTGTTGTCCTGAAGTATTAGGGAGCAAAGAGCAAAAACGGCCCAAGCAGAATGCGTGAGTCTCAACTCCAGCTCAAAGCAAGATCCTGCTGCAAAGGGGGCTTCGTAATTGTCACGAAGCGCGTAGGTCAGGTAAAAATAGTAGGGGGCCTGGCATTTTAGCTTAGCTCACTAACTGGTGATTAGCCACCGTAGCTTGGTGATGCAAACTAATCTAAACTAATATTTGTGGGAAAATTGTTTGCAATGCTCATGCAGGCTTTTCATGCCACCAGCCAGCCATAATTTACGGAAAAGCAGTGCTGAGGCAAAAACAGGTGCGTGCAATCACAGCATGAAGGATTACTAGGGCTTAAAGTTGTTTTCCTTTTTAAAAATATCTCTAGATAGCTATCTGTCTCTCTGTCTTTTGTTAAGATTGCTGCTGCCGTATATAGAAAATAAGATATACGCAAAGTGTGCCGTTATGCGATCATTTCTCTCGC